ATAATTTGCCTTGATTTGTGTTTAAAGAATTTTTTTTACTTTTTTCTTAATGCAATGAATTCAGAGACCCGTCCTTGGAATTAGAAAAGTTGGAAGTGATGGAGATGAACACTGAAAAAAAAAAAGTTTCAAGGGAAAAATGGAACATTGAAAGAAAAAAAGTGGTTGAGAAGACTTTGTTTAAGACCTGAGTATGTGAATGAATTGGACGTTGGAGGTGATCGGTAGATAAACTCTTCGGTATCACTTTATAGTAACTATGAGCATGAGTAAACAGTTCATCATTCAATTCATCATTCATAAAGCATTAATATACATTAATAAGCAGTTCATAAATACAGCTATAAATGCTTTCTTCTTGATTTAAAAGCATATTTATAATTTGTTTAATAATTGTATTTTCATTCTTTATTAATGATAAATGTATCATTTCTAAATGAAGAATTGCATTTTTTATAAACCAGTTATTTAAGAGTTTGCAGTGGTTCATAAGATTACTTAGAACATGTAAGTAAATGATTAATAAACTATTTAAATGTACATTCATACATCTTATTAATCAGACATATAGTGATGGTTACTTAGTGTGTTAATAAATGCTTTATTAACATGTATTAATGCTGTAATTCAGGGTTAATTCAGGTAGCTATAAAGCATTTAGTAGTGGTCAGTTAACTATGTTTGTGAGCTCATCTAAAGTGAGGACTATTCATGCCTTGTAAAGGATTTATAAAGGAGATTTAAAGGCTGTTAAATATTTCTATGTTCTGTATCACTGTGTTGTGTTTGTTACAATTTGACTGTTTAGAAGATTGATGCACCTTTAAATCTTCTTTATAAATGCTTTACAAAGCATGAATAGTCCTCACTTTAGATGAGCTCAAAAACATAGTTAACTGACCACTACTAAATGCTTTATAGCTACCTGAATTAACTACATTTACTTACACTTTCTAAGTGCTCTTATGAATGACTGACAACTCCTAAATAACTGGTTTGTAAATTATGCTATAATTAATTTAGAAATTATTAATTGATCATTAACAAAGTATGAAAATACAATTATCAAACACATAGATGCCCTTATAAATCAAGAAAAAAACATTTATAGCTGTATTTATAAACTGCTTATTAATGACTGTTAATGTTTTATAAATGATGAATTAACTGTTTATGCATGCTGAACAAATGATTAATAGCATGCCGTTATTATAAAGTGTTACCAACTCTTCATTAGCATCCACATTGGTGCACAGGAACAGGCCTCTTAGATGATTTACTATGATTGGGATTTTAGAGGACTCATGCTCCATCCCTGAATTTGAAAATATCCCTTAGGAAGCCAAAACAATGCTATAAGTTGCTATTAAATGTGTGTGTTGTGCATTTTGGATTGTACTGTTCATGTCTCTTTGAAACTTAACTAACCAGAATTTCATAAAATAATATACACAACAAGAAAACATATTCACAATGAATGGGTTTGTCAATGTGCGTGCATGTGTGTGTGTGTGTGTGTGTGTGTGTGTGGTCTCTTTAGCTAAGCTAACGAGTATTTTGTGCTGTTATGCCTTGTGGTCAATCTAATTATTCACCATCTTTAAACTTCTTCAAATTTCTTTTTCTCATCCTTTCTTGTGGCCTCTGTTTGTTCTCTGAGACATGGAAAGTAATACATTATGGAGAAATAGAGAAGAAAAAAGAACAAACCTACACACTTCCTGTAAAGCGCCAGCCCAAAACAGCCCCCACAAGTGAAATCGGAGCAATTCCATGGTCTGGCCTGCCCTCAATATTATTTAAAAAATACCCTGTTATTATTTAGGGAATAGAGAGAGAGACAGAGAGAGAGGCGCATGACTATTATCTTTATGTAGGTCCTTTAATTTTAATGCACCGCAGATTTATAGCTTAGCATTCCAGTGTGGAGGCACTGGGCACCCCACCCTGGTCATAAACTCAGCAGGACAGCGCCACAGTATTTGATAGCTTAGCTGTGACACACTGCACCTTCCCTTGTATCAGAGCTCACAGATAGCCCACCTATTTCTTTCCTGTACTAAATATATACTATGTACTCCTAATCCTATTTTACCACTGTTTTGCACTATTCCCCCAATCCCCCTTCCGTGCCTCTCCCTACACCTACATATTTTGCCACCCACACAAGAAGAAAATGGCAGATTCATTGACATATGAAACATATGGAGGCCCTGAGAACCTCTGTAAAAACAATAGTGTAGCTCTGTTAGCCTATTAACTTGGTGGAAAATGCTTATAGTTACACTGTGTTTGTACAAGACAAAATCATATTGCATATGCTAACAATTTTACATCTCATGTCGAAGTCAAAAGTGTCGTTTCTGGCTGTCTTTGTTTTGGTGTTTGCATGACTTTTTCTGTTAAATTAAGGATGTATCCCTGTCAAAATTACATGAAAACCAACTTGTCACTACATCAAATGTACTGTTGTTTTAAAACACATTTCTTCATAACTGATTCTTTTGATGCAATTTATTTTGGTTTTGGTGAGTATTTGTTTAGCTTCTTCCTCTGTTGGGTTAAAATGGGGTTGATACGTCAGCTCAGATGCTGTTAGTTGCCTTGATGCCCTCTAAAGACAAAATATTCAATCTTGTGGAATTATGTGTACAATATACAAAGTTAAACAATCATAGCCTGGGGCAGTCTGGTTGGATTTTTACCAGAGTTGATCGCATACTTAAGTGCAGAGAGGACATTAACTCCAAGAGACATTCATTGAAAGGACACTTTGAACTTTAAGCAGTTTTCAATTATTCCATACTGCTGACTCTTGTTTATAAGTTTACTAATACAACTTCTTATCTTTCTCACTAGGCACTTCACAGACAGCCCATGCAGCCGCTAAAGGACCACTCTCCAATCCGAGAGGAACCTGTTCCCAGTTCTGGAGCCGAAGAGAACCCTCAGGCTAATGCTGGTTCAGGCAACAGTGGAGGGGTTAGCAACATTACCAAGAAACCTCGCTCCCGCACCAAGATCTCACTAGAGGCTCTAGGCATTTTACAGAGCTTTATCCAAGATGTGGGCCTCTACCCTGACCAGGAAGCGATTCACACCCTTTCAGCCCAATTGGATCTGCCCAAACACACCATCGTTAAGTTTTTCCAGAACCAGCGCTACCACGTGAAGCATCATGGCCGACTGAAGGAGCTTGGATCTGAGGGCGGCGGTGTAGACGTGTCCGAATACCGCGATGAGGAGCTGCTCTCCAGTTCAGAGGATGCAGAGTCCAGTGAAGATGGACACGAGGAGATCTACGGTGGGCATGAGAGTGTGCCGGCCGGAGGGGCCAACTCTATCTCAACTCCAGCTGTTTCTTCTGGCCAAGATGAGAATAAAGACAAAGGCCTGCCTCTGGGGTCAGCCAGACCCAGCTCCCTGCCCCCATGTGGTTCATCCTCAAGTCCCCGAGATCAGGCAGAATATCAGAGATAAAACAGCCTCCACAAAGACTATACTGTTGGTGGGTAGAGGCAAGGAGTGGGCACTTACAACTATTCTGTTGGAGAGGAGAGTGTACCGGATAGATTAGAAATTGACTGACAAAGACAGTGTCCTAAACAAGATCTGCATTTTGATTAAGGAGGTATGTAAAGTGTTGATGTAGAAAAATTAGTTGTGAGCTACTCCTGGCCTCATACCTCACTAGTTACTTGCAGGGATGTGATGGTACAGAGGCTACAGTATCCCTACAGTGTACTACAAGGAAAGTATTTGGCGTGCTGGAAAGCTTTCATTTACTAGATGTAAATCGTCAAATTACGGCAGGTTTCAAGATGGCTGCCTTAACCCCATGTTGTCACAAGCATTCGAATTTGCATGCTAAGAATGTCAAGAAGGCCAGTCTTTCACCAAGTATTTCTTTTCTAATCAGAAAGCAGCGGATCTATTATAAGATACCACTATCCATGACCCCTCTTCACCTCTACAGGGTTAAAATGGCAGGGACAGAGCTTTAGATGAGCCATGGATCTCCTATAGGACACAAACAACTTTACTCCTTCCCAATCAGGGAGTCTAGTGGGCGGCTGTGGCTGTCCTCATCTTCCCCTCCATGATGGGGCATTCTGTCGGTCGCCAACGGAGGGGTTGTGCTAGACTGCTAAAGCAGTCAGTTGGGTTGGAGGTACAGATGATCTCTTGGGTGTACACATCAGCCCAGCCCAGGAACCCTACTATAAACATGTGGTGTGCTGAAAGGTCTACAGTTAGCGCAATGGCGCTTTTGAAGACCACGCCATCCCTCCCACAACCAGCCACAACGATCATTCCAAGCAGTCCCACACAGTTCAAGAAATCCCTCCTTTACCCCCACCACCTATGCACACCCAACACGGACTGCGCACAACATCACTAATCCGTAAGGTTTGCTTTATACAGATCTGTTTAAACTGTTGGTTTCATTACAGTTTTGCTCTCTCAGAGACAGAGAGAATAAAACGTAAAAGGCAGATGGACTGACTGCTATTGACAGAAGGACAAACTGCATCTGCTTCTGACCTAGTGGAGAAAAATGAACCATTTCAAGCAAACGCGCTTGTGAGAAAGTGCGGTAGTCCCTCTCTCTTCAGTCACCTCCCACGGCTCTCTCTTTTACTGACTGTTGCCCACAGTGTCCTGATTTGACCACACTTAGCCACACCCATCTCCACAGCACTATTTATTGCTATTTTCACCCTCAATTATTATTGTTGTTATTGTTATTATGGTTGTTCTTGCTGTTATTTTTAGTTCTATTTTCATGGTCTGGTATCAGCTCTTGGCTTGCAGCAGATGGTGATGATAGACATTGTGAAAGAAAGAACACTGCCAAACACAGAGGAAAGAATTAGAAGCAGTTACTGAGTGAATCATGTGATATATACTGTCAATTCTATCAGCATTATGTACTTTTCCAAAGAGAACAGCACTTGGCAGATGAGGCGTTAAATATTAAAACAATAGAATTACGAGGAATCATTTGAATTTCTATGATCTTTTTGTGCATACGATGACAATCCTTCTTTTGAGCCAATCAGAACTCAGCAAGCATGAACTCTGCATTCTGATTGAAAATTTGATCAGTGTAACTTGAGGCAACATGGCCACCTGTTGCAAATCGTCCATGACACCATGGCAAAACACTTGGATCCAGGGTTCTGATTTGTTTTTTTTTTTTAAAAAATCAGCTGCTACTTGCTCTTTCACAGATAATAGACAAAATATTGTTGTTAACCATATGCTAACCCTTAAACTTTGTTTTAAACAAGTGATAATTGTGGTCTATGTCCATGTTTTGTCTATTTCAAATGGAAATGTTTTATTTAGAATCTGTAATGTGCAAAATGCTGATGTAGTTCTTGCAATTACTTTGAGCATCCTGACTCTTTAGGGGCTTTCACACCGGAGGAACCTTTTCATTTGTTCCTAAAACTAATGGTGGAAGTACCCGCTTTTTGCCGTTTTCACACCATAGGAACTGGGAATGATGATAGCTCTAGGAATGCCTTTTGGGGGGGAACTAAATTAGCTCCTATACTTCAGAGAAGGGTCTAACCCAGCACAATAGGAACTACCAGTGACGTAACTGTACGTCGATTGGCCAAGTGCATACAAAACACTAGCACCTGCCATTTTAAAAATCCATGTACACACACAGATTATAGGCTATATATTTACTCCACAAACTAACTCGAACTCTACCTTTACGCTGAGAAAAACATGACTTTGAGGGGACCTGTATTGGACATTGGATATCAACACTAATACATTTTTATATACCATTTATATAACACTTATTATCTAATAACCGTCAAAATAAAAGTCAACAAGTGCGGTATACGTCACTTCAGAGTTCCTACTGTTAGTGCGAATGCATCACCCTAGGGGAATATTTAGTTCTCGGGGAACCACCCTGGTTGCTAGTTCCCGTTGCGGAAGCCCCTTTTCACATAGGCACAGTGTCCACACCTGCACATACGTATGAGTAATGCATTCCAGCAGAACATTAGTTAAAAATGGGTATAAACATATTTTTATCAGAAATTATAGAAGATGGCATCCCAACCACAAGGAAAAACATCACACTGTTGTATCTGTTGGGTTGTATTGTAAGTATATAACCTTGAGATTGGTATAACCGTTGATCATTTGTACCTTGTTATGATTTCACGTGCTATATTTTCTAAGTGAAGAACAGAGTAAGGCCTTAAAGACTTAAGATCAGGGAGTGACAATAATTCATATGAAAGTGTTAGAGACACAAGAGCCTGGTGTACTTACCTGGCAACTATTGACAGCCCAAGAGTGTGTTGTGGTTCTCTGCTGCTCACTTCTCTAGAGAGATTGAATTCTTCTAGCCATTTTCCAACCAATTTACCCATCTGCATTGTCTCCTTGTTTCGATTGCACTCACCCAGGTCTGCATTTGCCCAAATCGGATCTTTAGGGTCTTTATCAATCATAAGTGGTTATAAACCTTACAGTGCGCACGTCCCTGTCTGTCATCGTAGTTCCCCTAAAAATCTTGTTCACTGACAGCAGTCTAGTCAAGTCACCTTTATTTATATAGCGCTTTTTACAATACAGATTGTATCAAAGCAGCTTCACAGTGGTAACATGAAAATAATACAACACAGATCAATAAAATTGTTGAATATTAAAATGTCCCCAACTAAGCAAGCCAAAAGCCAAGGCAACGTGGCTTTTGGCTTGTCTACAGTCTCTTAGGCTATTTCACCCTATAACTTTTAAACCTTTAAAGTTTGTTACATTTAAGTATTATCCTCCCCTCTAAGCGGTCGAAATGCTTTGTCTTCTTCTGAACTTTAAATAAAACAAATGCATTTCATTCAAGATGCACAATATTCACTGGGAGATCTTGGATACCTGCAGGTTTTGCAAAAGGTCTTTAATAATACGGTAGTGATTGCCTGCTTAATCTACACCTTACTTAAGCCCGTCAATCATCAGTCACTTTGGGAGGCCTGTACCGCCTCTTTCGTTACACTGCGTGCATCTTCTCCAAATCCCGCCACCCTGCTGAGCCAAGATCAGCTGGAGACAAGCACTTCTGATGAGTCCGTCCATATACACTTCCCAAATTACCCTCATAAATGATGAGTGCGTGTGCACGCATGTGTCTGTGTGTCCTAGACTGGTGTTTAACCTACTATGGGGGTGGCTTACCACTCAGCGGGAGCGAACAACCTTGCACTTCTTCTACTCCATCTCCTCCTCCTCTTCATCTTTGTCAGAGTTAGTGGTGAGAGTGACGCCAAAGAGAAAACAAAGAAGATTCCAAGAGTCCCTGATGAGCACTAGGTCAAGGTCACTGCCCAATTATCCACGTCTTTCATTTTCACTCTGTACCATCTCGCGGTTCCCTCATTTTCTCGTTCACCAGGCGGGAAAGTAATCGTTGTCTCTCATGCTGTGGTGTCGAGGTTAAGCGGAGGTGATCATGTCTTCTGGCGAGGGTAGTTTCTTGAGAGGCAGCAGACTCCTGGATTGGCATGTCTGAGAAGTGTTGCAGTTAAGACAAAGGCTTTTGTTCATCTACAGTACAAAGTCACTATAACATTAGGTTGACTTTCAAAGTTTTGGGTGGAAAAGCTGAAGGTCTCCATTGCCACTTTCTAAAATTTACACACATACAGATTTGGACACTGTTCCTAACTTTGATTTTCCTTGTGTTTGTAATGTGTGACTTAGATATTAAATGTACAGGTACACAAGAATATCACATACTGTACAAAAGAGGAAGAAAATGCATTTTCAATATGGATTTGCGAGGAAGGATGCTCTTGCTCGTCTTGCTAATGCTTTCGTTTATCTTACAGTGCCTCTGAACTAAGCACAATGCTCCAGTTCTTTGCTTCGGAGATGACAAAATTTAGACGATCTCATAATTTTCATCATTGTTTTCATCGTTTTTGTACTCATAAACGCCTACAATGTGAATCAGGATTGCCACTCCTGAATTGGTACTTTCCTTGTCAATCGAATGCATTGTCATTATCACTAAGTGATAATTAACTTATGTGCATCAATTGGCTTCTTTGTTTGTATGACAATGTTTTGTTCTTTGATTTTGTTTTTTCAAATGCTGTTGTTTAAATAAAGTGCATTCAAAGAATTATAGAACTATTGCGTGTGTGTTTGTTCTACCTGCAAACTCTTGACTGAGCTGGGTGGTCTACAAGTCTATGGCTCAAATTGCTTTATCCTTAGTCCACATTACAGTCACAAAAGTTAAAAGAAAGTAGTGACTAATGCACAGTGCTATGTTGTATTTAGTAGAGGGATTAGCAGTGGAGACAAATGAGTGGAAAGAAACGAAATACAGTTTTGCTTGTACATTAAAGCAATCAAACAAACCATAATAGGAAAAAATGTTACTGGAAATGGCAATCTAGTGTTTCGTGCTTATCCATTTAGGAGAATTTGAATAAATAAACCACTTGATACTGCAATCTAGTGAGTAATGAAAAATATTCTAGCATATTGCTTCGATGTCTATCTGAAGTGTCTCTATAAATCACACTTGCATAAGTAAATTCCTTAGAATCAGACATTATTCAAAATATCCATTTTGTCCCAACTGAAAACAAAACATGACTTTCATTTCAACACAATAAACAAGAACTACACTGAGGAAAAGTTTCCTGCATCAATAATTCCACGCCTTATTGCATTTTACAACGTGATTGCTGGAGGCTTCTTCGCATTCATTCCATTGTGTGCTCTCTTGGGCTTATTGTGGGTTATGAAATACACATTTACATACAAGTGATAAACTTCCACTGGCGTTAACGCCACTGAATTGCCTCAGCATGTATGACAATTTTTGTTATTTATTATTTTGTGAAATGGTAAGAATTGGATTAATTACGTGAAGCCCCATCCGTTCCTTGACCTTATGCAGTACCGCAGAACTAACTCAGTGTCCTGTCTCTGGCCACCTGCCATGATTCGCTCCATCCCATGGTTCCCTTCTCTGCAGAACAGCTTGCAGTGGTGTCCTCTGGTTTTCATTCCACACCAGCCCTCCAATCTCCTAAATTGAACTTATTTTTCGCTCAATTGGCTTGCTTTAACCCTTTCTCCCCCTCCAGGTTCAGGCCTGTATGTCATTAGCCAGAGGATTTTTCGGTCGCAGCGAGAGCGTCAGGAGCTGGAGGGGTGTAGCTATAAACCCGTGGTCCCTGGCAGGATTTGCAGTTGCATCCGCTGGAAGAGAGTCAGCGCTCATTCTATGAGTGCAGTGGAGCCAGACCACCCAGACAGGGATGTGTGGCCCAGTTTGTTTTCTGGCTGATGAGTTTTAGTCTCAGCTGATAGCTTTTGAGACCTGGATTTCTCTCTCTCTCTGCTCCTTCATTCTCTGTTTCTTTCTCTCTGATGTAAACATTTTAACGGCCATCTGTGAGATGCTCTTCATCGCATATCAATAGGACAGAGTTATTCCATGACTGTATGGATATTATCATGTGGCAAATGAATATAAGAGTATAGCCTTGTAATTGGCATTTAAGTCCCACTTCATATTAAGTGTCTTCTTTAACTACTATGCACTAACATTTGATACAATGCACTTTTTTGTTGTTTTTGCATTGTATTTATATTTTAAAAAATACTTGCATGTAATTACACCTATAAGAAATTAATTTCCTTACCCCCTTAACCCACTCTTAAACCTACCCACCCCGAACCTTACCCGTATCCAACCTCAGTATCAGCAAAATTGTTTGCAATACCAGACTGATCTCATGAAATGGCTTATGTGTGACATGCCAATTTGTATTTCCATTTTTGGTGTGCTACATTGAAAAAAAAATATTGGTGGTTTAACTTAAAAAATTAAGTAACCTGGCTGCCTTAAAATTTTAAGTTCATTGAAATAGAAAAAAAGAGTTAATACAATGAAAGAGATCATTATCAGACACTCAAAATATTATGTTATCTGAACTATATAAATCATTTAAGTTGATTTGACAAAAGAAAAAATGTTGTGATAACAAATCATGAAAATATTTTTTTACAGTGTGTCAACACGCATAATCACTTTCAGCATGTTTATGAATGCCATTGAATTAACGTTATTACTGTATATATAAATATATGACCTACCCCAACCCCGTCCCTAAACATAGAATATTTAAACAAATATATAT